TTAAATAAAAAATTATCAAAAAGAACAAAATACTTATAAATAAAATTTTTAAAAAAAAAAAAAAAAAAAAAAAAGTATGAGAAAAAGCAGTTTAAGGTTTTCTGTGGAAATATTTAAAATCTTCCACAATAGAAATACAATCCGCTAACAACACATCAATACATAAAGCCCTCCTGAATAACAGATGTATAAAGCATGAATATTCATTGTTTCACATAATCGAGCTCATGTGACAGATGAGCATTTAAGTATTGCACTCAGTATGTTAATGAAACAAGAATCTATCCAAAGGAGACTCGTTTTAGACTGAGAAATAATGCTAAGTCAGAAGATTTCAGAGCTGATATTTCTGACCCACAACCACATAAAGAGGAAATGAGACCACAACTTTCACTGAATGAACAAAGATATCACTGATAAGCTAATTAAATAAGGACATCACAACAATGCAAACAACCTGTATTACCACCGCACGATTTCTGTTCAATTATGTTGACTGGTTCATCACATGTTAAAATGATAGCAAAACCAAAAGAACAATAAACTTTCACTTTTAAATTCAGCTTGATTTCTGGAGATTATCCTTTATCGTTTTATTAACCCAGATCCCCTTTATGACATTATTGTGTTTTCCAATTCCACAGCCTTTACAATTGTTGAATTTATTAGTTAGTCAATTTTAGTGGGTTTATGTCTGTTTTGAACTTGTGCAAAGATAGAATAATCATTTATTGGAACTAATTGAGGAGATTCAAGTGTATTAGCAGCTCCGACGTAGGCAAAGGGAAAGCCCCAAGATCCACATAAATAAGTATTAAAAATTAAGTAGAAATCTTACTGCAATATTAAATCTACAGAAAACCATAAAGTTATGACAAACAGCAGATTATAAGAAACAAACAAGTGTATTAAAAAATTAAATAGCGATTGTATTTATGTGCAAAAAAATAAGAATGATTGAAAAAAGAGAGAAGAGGCTCACTCTGGATGCCATCATGTTTTGTTGCGGTTTCTTTACACTGCAAAAAAAAAAACCAATTGCTTCAGGGCAATCTTTTTGACACATATGGACATTTAATCTTTTATAATTGTGTATATGTATTAATCAATTTTGTTTTGTAACCAGGTTGCTGTGTACTGCAGACTTCTGCCCAGGTCCCCCTTGAAAATGAGATCTAGATCTCAATGGGGTTTAAATAAAGGAATAAAATAAATAAAAAATAAAATAAAAAAAATCTGCTCTGGAGAAGGTTAGGTGGCCAGACTAAAGAGCATAAAGTTACAATAGAGACGGACCTGGGCAAAAGCTTATCCAGATTCAAGTTACTGAAACTCCAATACAAGTATTGAGTGATAGCACAGGTCACTGGTCTAACAGTTACTAAGAAATTGCTATTTACAGTTTTTACAACCGCAGTTGTAACTTGGTTATGTTTATTGGGAAATACACAGGTGAGTATGAATATTAGAGAGCTAATAGGCATATGCAGTCAAAAAGATTAGCACTGATCTTTGCTTCAGTTATCACTGCAAAGTGAAGTGCAGTGGCCAACATTTCAAGAACCCTTGTAGAAACTGAAGTGGACAGCATTGACGTTGCTGTGGCTACTGGAATGGGCCATTTTGATATTCAGTGCAAGTTAAGGTAACACTTTATTTGAAGGGGTGTGCATAAGTCCGGCATGACACTGTCATAAACATGACATAACGACACTTAATGCAAGGTTGCTCTAAAAGTTGCATTGAAAGTCCATTAAAAATGCCAACTTTGCATTCAATTATCATAATTTACAAAGTCCTGCAAAGTTGGCACTTTTAATGGACTTTTAATGCAACTTTTAGAGCAACTTTGCATTAAAAGTGTCATTATTTACCGAATGACACTTCATGACAACAGTCATAAACATTCATAAAGACTTATTTATGTTCATGACAGAATGACAGATGTTATGTCATGTTTATGTCAGTGTCATGTCAGTCTTATGCACACCCCTTCAAATAAAGTGTTACCCAGGCTAATAATGTATTCCTGTATTTACAAGTAATTCAAGCAGTGCCGTTCTGGTTTTTCTACAAAATGGAATTTTAATTTCTGTCAAACACACTTAAAATTAATAACATTACGCTTCTTAATACAGCCCCAAACAGAATCCTATTATTGCACTATTTTAAAATGTGAAGATAAAGTCAAAGAACATTTCTATACTTTCAAAACAATAATCACTATGCATAAAATCGACCTTATCAGCAAAAAAAATGAACAATGATAAAAACAATAAAACGCAACCGAATAAAACTGAATACAAATAAGACAAGTAACAACAAAGGATGAATTTTCTTCTCAACTAGAATTACAAGGTAGTTAACAAAATGTTGGGTGAGAATAGAAAACTTTGTACCTGGAGAAGTGATACTCAAATAGCACTGATGTCTTACTACAGACGCGCGAATGGCACTGAACACTGGAAACACTTATCGCGTCAAAGCAACACTACATAACTTACTAACTTCAAAGATTACATAAAACTTAACATTTCAAAATGTGCATCAATTTTAATGCATTAAACCACAATCTCTGACAATGCAGCAAAGGCTATCCCAATTGCGCAACTTTGAAGATGTCCTGAATGAGCTGTTAGCATGTGGCTAATACCGTTAGCCCCGCACGTGCAGAGAACGTTGATAATTCGCTTCTCAAGATAAGCTCACCTCCATTGGCTCTCAGATATCTCTAAAGCAATAGCAGGCACTTGTAGCCCTGTATCAGAGGAGCGCTCGTGTGCCGAGAAAAGGAAGCAAATCAAAATGAGCTGCATCGCTAACAACAGAGGTTATTTTTGTTTCGGCTTTTTGGTTGGTACATAGCTTACTGAACTAGCACCGGCTAACGTCTAGCTCGTAGCCTCATTGTTCCAAGGGGATGAACACGTAGTGTAGCTTCACCTACCCGTCAGACCGCTTCTTACTGGAGGAGAGCTCATCTCCCAAATCCAAACGGTGTCTTTTGGACATATTGCTTAGGAAAATGTAGTTTATCTATACCACCAACACAACAGTGCTGCGCCAAATGCAACTACCAGTTTCCTGATTCCTGCGCTGTGTTTTTTCCACATTTGTTTTACAGATTGTAACACCGCCACCTGCTGGTTTGGATCCCACTGTATGATTCATTTCACATTTCTCAATTTCTGACGTCACCAATAGTGGAGTACAGTTTGTTTTTAAATGGCCACATTTTAAATAAAACAACTTAATAAAGATATAAAATCATGTCAGATACTTCAATGGCTGACTCAAATCATTTATAACATTACCTTAAAGATATGTATCTACTTCGTTTTTCAGAATTCACTAATGTTTTCGCATTTTTTGCACATTGAAGCTGGAGAACTTAATTAAACGACGATGAAATTTTATTTGGTATGTATACACAATTAAGATTATAACTGTGAAGAGGAAGGCATGGATTTAGTTTTATTTTTCAATAATTTTTCTATTTTTTCTTTTTTTTTAGTTTTTTCTGACAGCTAGTACTTTAGTGAGTACTTTAAAACAGAACTGATACCAACTAACAGTAAATCAGAAATTAAAATTTATATATATATATATATAGATATATATATATAGGTGTATAGTTCTAGATTTCATCTAGTTCTAGATGTCATAATCAGTTGTGACATCACTCATCTGTGACATTATAATTACAAGAGTAAGGAGAGAATTATTCAGTGATGCAGAATTCTTCTGTCCTCATTTTCACTCACAAGAGCAGAAAATTCACATCTCAAGGTCTTACTCCAACAGAGTTTGAAGAAGTTTGAAACTGATCACAACTGTCTTACAAACAGAGCAAGAACAAGAATTTTGTGATGTTTCTCTTCAGAAAGGTAAAATATCTATGGATGACTGAATGATCAGTTGTACTTGTATATTGCTGGGTTTTTTTTAGCTCATGTCTTTATTTTCTGCCTCTCAGCATAATTTCTCAGTATTTTGTACATTTTAGATAATTGTAAGTTATTTATCAAAAAATTATTGACTGATGAAAAAAAACATATATCTAATTTAAGATTTAAGTAAAGTAAAAATCACTTTGACCTTAAAATCATCTATACTGCTCAAAAAAATAAAGGGAAACATTTCACTTTAATTTTGTGTGTGGCTTCAAATCCAGGCCTCCATTGGTTAATAAATTTGATTTCCATTGATGATTTTTGTGTGATTTTGTTGTCAGCACATTCAACTTTGTACAGAACAAAGTATTCAATGAGAATATTTCATTCATTCAGATCTAGGATGTGGTATTTGAGCGTTCCCTTTATTTTTTTGAGCAGTGTATAATTTGCTGTAAAAAATTTACAAAAATCTGGATTTATTTTATGGTTCATTTGTGTGGCACACTTTAGCTAAAATAAACACGGGCATGTGTTTTCACCAAAATTAACTGTTAATATTAAGCTTGTGAGGTCACCAAACAAACAAACAAACAAACAAACAAACAAACAAACAAACAAACAAACAAACAAAAATATATAGTCATCCAAACAAACAAATAAAAGTAAAAACACCATGCATTCACCAGTTGGGAAATGTGTAACAAACATTACATTTTGTTGAGTGACATGATCAAAATGATCAATACATATCAAATATGTTGGTGGTCAATGTTTAGCCATTACGGTTCCAAAGCAACTCTAAACAGGTGGTTTTTAGCCTTGAATTAAATGAATTCAGTGTTTCAGCTATTTTGCAGTTTTCTGATTTGTGGTAAACAGAAGACACCTAAAGTGTCTTACAATCTCAAATGTTTTATTTTATGTACAAATGTGTGCTAAGACAGATAAAGAATTTGTGATATAGTCTGAATGACTATAGCAAGTATTTTTGGGTACTTAATTAAACTGAAGTATTTTTCTTTCTTTCCATAGAGCAAAAGAGTGGAACTTCCCACTAAAAGAAGCAGCAAAGCTGTTTCCTTTCTGTCTCCTCACACAACTGCAACTTCTGACCCTGTGCACATGTCCATATTAGGTTCGGGACAACCTAAACAGTTTGCTGCTGACTTGGATGATCTGTTGTCATCAACCTCTAGCTCAAAGAATAAAGATCATCAAGATGGAGCTGGAGACTTTGCAAGTACAAAGGCGTCCCACTATCAGACAAAAAAAGGAGCAGCATTTAAAAGGCTTTTCAAAAGCCAGCGAGTTGTTCACCAACACCAGATAGTCAGCAAACCTCCACATGAATCTGAGTCCAAATCTGCTGACAAGAAAGGAAAATCCAGTAGAAGGCTGTTTCATAAACCAAAAGGTAGAAAGAAGCACATTAAATCAGCAGAAAAGGACGGTCAGGAGGCAGAGCAAGAGCTGGATGCTGAGGCAGAACAAACTAACGTAAAATCTATTCATACTTCTCTTGAACACAGCTCAATGTGGTCCGATATCTTGGACCAAAATCAAAGGTTTGACCATAACATTGTGTCAACTTCCCTCCCAAACACGCTACCTAATTTTTCTGATGTTGAGAAGAATTGTTTTGATACAGAAAAAAAGGCAATAAACAGCATAAAAACTGCCATTCAGCCCGGCGGAAAAGATTTATGTGAGATGAAACCAGGTGAAACCTTTAAAAATATGAAAGAAAAAGCAAAAAAGAGTAAGTCAAGCTGAATTTAACTGTTATTTTGTTGTGTCGAACCGACGTCTTGTCAAACATTTCGCTCTGTCGAAGACGTTTTGGTCGGCTGTGAAATAGAAATAAGTTTCATCCACTTAAAAGTATCTGTTTTCTTTCACAGGCTCATTCCAAACAATGAACTTCCGCCAAGCAGGGAATACCGTCACGGAGAACAATTCACCAGGTCCCTTGGAGCATCACGTGGGATCTGTGGAAACTGTAAAAGGAAATGCTGATACTTCTGGCAGCTACAATCAGTTTTACAAATTTAAGAAAAATGTTTTCTTCTTTGACATGGAGCCATCCTTGAAAGAAAACAAACAGCAAAGCAATGCTGATCCAGCTTTTGGTGCAGAGAAACTCTACATTTCTGGAGATACTTGCACAGAAAGTATGCCACCATCTTTTAGGATCTCGGCTAAAAGCGCAGGAACTGATCAGCGATTACAGAACAAACAAGATGAGACTCAGGAAGGTGAGTCTGGAATCTACTTTGAAAGGAGGATCATCTGCTAATACAAACATAAGGAATATTACAGAATAAATCACAGAGCTGTGAACATCAGAACAGAACTGACAAAGGATTCCCCCCCCCCCTAATTTTACAGGTCCTGAACACATTTCTTTCAAGACCATGAAGTCCATCACTGAGGCCTCAAGTTACTCAGATTTATTCCTTAATCCCCTGGAGTCACTTCGTCAAATTATTCCACCCAACCAACCCAGAAGATCTTTATCAGAACTGAGCTTTAAACATTTCTCTGAATGGTATGTTCTATGACACTTTTTCACCCAGTTTTCTCAAAAGTCGATATTCATTCACGTTTTCATGTCTGTGACACAATTTTAAACATCCCATTTCTAGTTTCGAAAAGAGAGCACACAGGAGTTGTTTAGAGGCCTACCTGAACTCTTGTCTGCGTCAGTGGAGGGAGATGAAGCAGAAACGTTCGTCAGAGTCAGCCACCGAGAGTCTTAAAGAACCTACCAGCTCCTCTGCAGAGGGTCGGGCAGAGACAGTTACTGAAAGGCTGTCCTCACAACCTGATGCCCATCCGACAAATGTTAGGTCCATTCGTAGCCGCTTCAAAAGATTCACAAACGTGGTGCGGAAAAGACTCTCCCAGCTGTCCAAGATACGCATCGTTGTGACCATCTATCGCTGATGGATCTGACTGAGACGAACCAAGGATCATTTTTCCACTTTAAAATAAAAATTCTCAACTATTAACTTTGTGTGTTCTATGCTTTTGCTTCGTGCATTAAATGTAATTCTAATGAGCAATGCTATTTGCATTAAGCTAAGATTTAAAATCAATTCCCAACGAGGTATAATCTGCTTGGTCGATTTTGAAAGCAAGTTTAGAGACGCAAATGGTATCTCAGCTGTTTTGCCAATTTTCCAGGAAGTTTGTTCTGGATTAGAGGAGCAGAAAAACAGAAATGCTGTTTCTCCATGTTTGATTCTGGTTCTGAGGATGCGGAGTAGAGAGACGTCTAAGAGTTGCAAGACACTGACCCTGGAGGCCAGGATTTGAAGGCCTCTGCTGTAGAGTCTGAGATGGAGCTCTTGCATCTTCTCTAAACAGTGAACTGCAGATGTTCAGTCCTGGGAAGATTGACAGCGGCCTTGAATGTTGACCGAAAAGAAATGATTTTTCAACAACAGAATGATGGGATTTTAAAAGTTTGAAATTCCTGAACAGACAGGCAAACTGTCAAAACCTTATAAAGATGATTATACTAACTCATAATCTTTTTTTTTTTTTGGGAAAAGCGTCACGTGGCTATTGTCATGGGCTCTTAAATACCATCAAGTCTTCCTGTGGCAAAAACACGCTTTCTTATTAAAAATCTGGTATTGTAATCCAGTACATATGAGTCGACAGCGCTCTAACAGCTTTCAGTTGGTTGCAAACATTATTGGTTCCTTCCTCTTTTTTTTTTTCCACTTTCTTGTTTTGAAGCAATTTTTGTTGACACACGCAAGTTGCTTGCGCAAAAGCAATAATCTACGGTAATTAAATAAATCGTGTTTTGAGTCGGTAGAGATTGAAGACAACTGTAATTATATATATTTTTCCTCTAAGAAAACATGCGTGACAGACAAAAACGCTCATGCCCCTAACCAATAAGAAAGAGAATGGGGGAGAGGCGCTCCACCCTCGGCTTGTAAACGCCCACTGACGCGCACGGACTGTTAGGAAACAGTGGCATCGTGTCTTTTTCAGAGAACCATTATATTGCAGTTCAACAGCGTAAAGAGACATTGAAGCTTGAAGTCTTGTTTTCATTGCTGACCATGCGCGTTAACAGGTAAGTATGCGGTCTTACAAGTGCGTCTTTTTGCTTACTGCATAACTACTTAAGATTTGCCTGATTAGAAACCGATTCTTATTTTTATTTATTTATTTATTTTGTCTTATAAATAATCGAAAATGTGCAACCATGCCAACACTGGGAGCTTACATAACTAGTTTCCAAAATGTAAAAAAGTTGTTGGTCAACAGCATGAAAATGAAGAGCTGAGAACAACATTTTTGGGACAAACATCACACATCTAAACATCTAAAACAGCCCCTGCATACTTTAGATGTTTTCACACGCCAGGTTCAGATGACCGCACTTCAGTAAGAGCTTGTTAATCAGGCATCAATTATAATCACGTGCAGGGAAAAGGACTGAATCACTGCTTTCAAGTCGCACTTTAAAAAAAAAAAACCTCAATCTTTTTGTAAATCCCACGTTTAAATAAAAAAAAATACATCTTTGTTGACTTACAGGCTCCAAGTTTGGACATGTAAATAAAGATGTATTTTTTTTAATGTCTATATTCAAAAAGCAGTTTTTTTTGTTTTTTTGTTTTTTGCTTACTTCTTTGTAATTTGTGTCTCTGCTTCAACACAACTTAAATAATTTAATCATTAATAGGATACCATGGACTGGACTTTGTTACCCCTTCTCTGCAATCCATGTGCTTTTATAATTTAACAGATTAAAATACAATAAGCTTTTTTTTTAGGTTAAATACCTGTTGGTAAACCTTTGCATATGCTTTTATTTTTGAAAACATCTTGGTTAGTGTAAAAAGTCTAAACTAAAATCTCATCAGCTTAAACTGTTAAATACAACTTATGTGGTGATCAGAGGGCCTAGTGACCCCAGTGCAAGTCAATCTGCCCAAGGGCAACAGTGGCTTGTCTGTGTGTGTGTGTGTGTGTGTGTGCGCGCGTGTGTGTGTGAGAATGACCGACGTGTCATTCACACACACATCAGCGTTTGGATGTGTGTGTGAATGACTTAAGCGCTATGCAAGGAGAAGTTATTTACTAAAAAGATTTGTTGTTAAAGTTGCTGTTTGTTCTGTTTTTTTTTTTTTTTTTTGTAATCCATTCTTTTGAGTTGTTCTTCTAATCCTGTTATGTTCCAGGTCATCGAGTGGACTCCAAACTGCTCTGCTGGTACTGCTGGCCAGTTGTCAATGCATCTCGGTAAACACCGATACTCTCCTTCCTCCAGAGTTCTCTCAGTACAATGGCACTCTGTATGCAGCCTGCAAAGTGAGACCCAGCACTTCACTTCCTGAGGGGCTTCCCAAGGTATACGGGCAGGTGCTGTTCAAACAGGAGCAGTCTGAGGGAAAGCTTCAAGTCCTCCTTCGGCTCAATGGCTTCCCAACAGAGGACGCTCCAGAACCCAGAGCCGTGCACATCCATCAGTACGGAGACCTGAGCCGGGGATGCGACTCAACCGGTGGCCACTACAACCCGTTTAGTGTGAACCATCCTAAACACCCAGGAGACTTTGGCAACTTCGTCTCACAGGAAGGACAAATCAGTGAGCTGATTGAATCAGAGGCCACCCTGTTTGGAGGCCTGTCTGCGCTCGGAAGAGCAGTGGTGATCCATGAGAAGAGAGACGACCTGGGGCTCGGCGGCGACATCGGGAGCCTGCTCCACGGGAACGCAGGCCGCAGGCTTGCCTGCTGCGTTATCGGGATGTCCTCCTCCAGCGTCTGGAATATGCAACATGAGCGTTTCGCAAGGCGGCTCAGGAGGAATTAGGCTCACAAGACAGGATTGTTGTTTGACACAGAATTTATCCAAGTGTTGAGTAGTTGGGAGGATAAATTCATGGTTTACTAAGAATTCAATTTTAAGCCAAACATGCCATAAATAGTACAGTTTATATGTGAACTTTTGTTGACCTTTACTTGAACATAAATCACTTTACTCCTCCTCCTGAAATTTACTCTAATTACCTGGATAATATGTATTGGATAGCAACCATCATATTTTGTAACATATTAAAAAGAATCAATCCAATCAATATAAAAACTGAGTATTGAGTCTGTTACAAACTGTCATAATCTGGCCCTTGTGTGTATGCATTTTTTTTTGTTTTAAACAGACTTACATTTAGCAGATGTTTAACAATCCAAAGATTCATGAAATGGTATTTAGTCTGTCCTCCACACAAGTTTATCACATATGTATGCACATTGTGCTTTTCATGTCAAATGCTATTCTCACAAATTAACCTATAAAGCAATTCTATTCTTTATGATAAATTATGATGGAAGGCATTAGTTATGTTTTTATTGTGCAATAAGGTGCTTCTGTAAAAAGAGCAAAATTATTTAACAGCACAGAGTCAAGTAATGCTTAGACGTAAATTTATTGGGAGCCATGGCAATGAACTAAAAAGCCACACCGATTAGTGTAAATTAAAAAGTGCATTAATTCACTAATAAACATACTCGTATTTAAACAAGTCACTGGTGGGGGAAAAAATAAAATAAAATGGCATTTGAGCATTACCAAGTCTTCATTACAATTACATGCAAGAGCTTGAGAATAAGACTGAGCTTTTAGGTATAGAAAACAATCCAGGTGGGTTTAGCTTGAAAGAATCAAGAGGTGGAAACTCTCCTCACACAGTGATGGATCTGTGATGCTGTGGGCCTGGTACTTTTTTCTTTTTAAAGCCTTGGAAACTTTGCTACAAGGGCATAACATTAAGACCCCATTGGAATAACATTCAACACAATTCTTTGCTAGAAAACTGCTAGAAAGATGATCTGAAACATGCTCAAAATCAACACAGAGCTGCAAAACCAGACAAAATCTGTCTTCTGCTACGGACATCGCAGTCCACAAACGTATCAAAAACCTGCGGGGTGAGCTAAATAAGGGGTTGAAGATCTGAAAAAATTGTGCAAATTGTGCAAAGACAAATTGTCAAACAACCGTTTCACTATACTCCAACCTTGTGAAAAGATGTATAAGACTGTGTGCCGTTTTAGAAAAAGGCAGTTGTGCAACGTATTGACAACATGAGTGCTAACATTAGGCTACCAGTGATTCAGTTAAAAAAAAAAAAAAAATCTTAAAATTGCTTTAATTTTCCCACACAATAAATGTACCCATTTGGTATTTTAGAAATTATATTAGAGTGATAAAAGGTGAATTTATTTTAAGATGTCTTTAAAAAGTTGGTCAGCACTGTCTCTATTTCAATAGTTTCAGAGATGGCAGCATCTATAGGAAATGTGTTCCTAACACAAAATTATCAACATGATTAAAAAACAAAATCTGAGTGAGTTTTATATCACCACATGCACATTCCTTCACTGTGAACTAGTTTCAGAGCAACTGTTTTGTAGATTAAAACTTTTAAGCAGAGTCCACTCTGTGCTTTGCCTTACTACAAATAGTTTTTCCATGTTTATGTAATGTTTCTTCATAGATGGGAATAAAATCCCTACAGCCAGCAGTAGGCGCTGTTATAGCAGCAGTTTAAAACGGGATGCTCAGTAATCACACACAGATGTATGGCTCAGCAGACCTGCGATCAGGATGTGCAAAACGTGGGGGATAAGAGACCCACCAGAGATCTCACCAAAGTAAGAACAGCTGACCAAGTTACAAAACCTGATTTTGATCCACAGGATCTTTTCCTAAACGCTACGAGACAAGAGAGCATCTCCCGGGAGACTGTGCGCATCGTCACTGTCGCACACGTGCGCCTCCTGATCTGACTGGATGTCCCTCTGCTGCCTATCAATGTTATTGATTTCATTGTTCACGTCAGACTCTATTTCGACCGTTTCTATCCCCCAGTTGCGTTCTTCTGACTCATCGTCTCCTCCTGTGATTGGTTCAGATCTCTCTGACTGTTGACTGAGACTAGATGGTGGGTGGGGTTCGCTCAGGCAGGCCGCTTCAGGAC